AATACCTTTCCACTGTGGTTTGGAAATTAAAAAAAAAATAATATTTGGGTCATGCTAACCTAGTGCATAGGACTAGGTTGAGAATTTCAGTTTCCCTCCTCTGCATCTGCTGAGCCCCATAAATATCCATGTATTTATTCCCTTTCCATTTTGCAGAGCTCCTGCCTGCCTGAAGGCAGAGCTGCCCAAACACAGATTTGAAATGGAGTTAGTCTGACTAGAGGTGGGGTCCTGGGAGCTGAGCACCGGGGACAACAGCAGTGAGGAGCCAAGCCGCTGTCTGCCACAGCCGCCCCTCTCCAGCCAGGATGCAGAGGAATGTGGCTGGTGCCTTCAGGAAGCTGCGTGGATGGACTTCCCGTCATGTTGCTCCTAACAGCCTGCACAAAATATCAGCCTCGGTTACTAAGCGGTTGCTCAGGGTTTTGGCAGCCAGATGTGGGAGTGAGTTCTCTATGTACAGTGTCCAGCTGCATCCCGCCAGCGGTACTTACTGAGGGGGGTGGAGGTGGTTGCATGTTTCCTTCTGCAGAAATGTTCCTTGCCTTGTTTTGAGGTTTCCATAAAGACTGAGAAGAGCCTGCAGAGGAGCCACAGGGATGTGAAGAAGTGCTCCCTGTGTACCCATGCGTTGCTGGTCCCAGTACTCGTGTGCAGCAATGCCAGTGCAGCAACCGCAGGCGGTCTCTGCTGGTCCAGGGTTAGGTCCTAGAGATGGCTGCTCTGGCCTGACGCTGCCTTCCTGGCAGGACTGTGCTGATGCTCTGGGAAAGGCAAGCGAGTGCCACGCCTGGGAAGAACGAGCTAATTTTTCCAAATGGCACAACTTTGCGAATGACAACTGTGACTTCTGCCTGGGCTATGATGTGAAATCTGGAGGTGGCTGTGAGCAGCGACTGCCAGAGGGAGCAGAGCTGAGCTCTCGAGTTCCTGGCTAGTGTTGTAGCTGGCTGCAGGGTCCTTCTCTCCCTCCTCCTCCTCATGGGTGTTGGAGGGATCTAGATGACACAGTTACAAGAAGGGAAGGAAAACTCCTGGGTTTTTTTCTTTTTTTCTGGGGTTTAAATTTCCACCCGTGGTCTACCTGTTTCCAAACTTCAGGTATTTTGATGTAATCAGCTTGAACGTTGGCTTCAGTGGTTTGCTGGAGAATCCAAGACTAGGGATCTCCACAGCCGGCCTGATGGTGGGTTGGAGCTGCAGGACAGGCTAGTAGTGTTTCCTGACCGGTGACTTGTGGGCATCCAGGTTAAAAATGCCCAGCTGAAGGACTCTGGTTGCTCTAACAGAACTGGAAGGGGTTGCAAAGCTCCTTTTGGTTGAGTAGGTTTAGAGATCAAAGAATTCGTCCTCTTGGTTAAAGATATTTCTCTTGAGGCCTTAATGGTCTTTAATAGCAGTCTCCTGCATTGGAGCTCCTGCTAAAGGCTTGATCCTTCGTAGCTGTTTCATAGCCCAGGGATGTTCTGTGGATCTGTCCTCCTCCCAGCCTGCAGGGTTTATCAGCTCCAAAGAGGAAAGCGTTGCCCAGCTGATGAGTGTGGGAGTGCCACCAGTGTGGAGTTCATGAACTCCTGCAAGACATTTTTAGGGTCTGCTTTAATTTAAATCAGAACCACAATATTCTGCTGCACTAATGCAAGGTCCTTGCGTCAGTATTTTGTCCCCATTTGATGGGTAAGTGGGATTAGGAAGGAGATGTGCTCATCATGCTCTGCCGTGCCTGTGAACATGCATGGCACCTTTCTGTGCTCTTTCTGGGGCAGGTATGAACACTCAGCTCCTTTTTCAGCCTGGATCAGAGACACATCCGCTGGGAAGCATCTCTTGTAAAAGTAGGGGAGGCTGTTCTGGGGCAGGGAGGAGGCAACGTCGTTCTTGGGACGAAACTAGGCCCCGATGGGGTGTAATGAGTCTGTAGTTACAAAGATGGTACTGAATTATTTCTTTTCCATGGTTTTTGAGTCCTGACACTGTCACTTTGCTGGCAGCAAACCAAACACCAAGTTAGCTTATGTTAAGGAACAGAAGATGAAGTCCTAGATAAGCGCTCGGCTGTAGGAATGTCTTAAATTGAAATGTGCAGGGGGGACATGGAGGAAAATACTTAGTTTTGCTCTCAGCACTATCTAGACCCTGTGTCTGTGGCCAGGGCTGTGTTTCTCTCTGCCAGAGAGCAGGTATTGCCTGCCTCACATGCTTCTTGGGATGTGAGATGAATGCCAAGGAGGGTACAGTGATAGCTGTCCTTCTCCATGGTGACCTGTAGCCTCTTTGTGACTGTAGCATCAGGGTTTTGTGTGGACCAGGAGCAAGTGCTTTGAGGAATGATAGGAGTAACCACACCATAACCTATCTTTTAACCACCACTCTTCTCTGAGACAGTGATACCCATCACTGCTGGGCTGGTGAAGCCACCTCCCACCCTTGGGTGCTGGGCTGCAGAGCAGGGCGCAGCATGGTAGCTTCAGGCTGACCTCCTGTTAAAGTAAATATTCCCAAATAATGCCGCTATTCTCGCCAAGTCCTCTCCCCCCACCTCTCAACATGTTTAACTTCTGACTAAGCTTTTGATAAATGTTTTGTATAGACCTCCCAATTTATCTTAAATAGACCTGCTGCCACCATGGCTAAAATCTAAGCTGACACTTGACTTAGAGCTCGTGTGCCAGATGAACTTGGCAGTTGCCGACACACTGAACGGTCCTGTTTGACATACAAACCCTGGTGACAAGTTGTGAGGACCGGCTCTCGCAGTGGATGGGGGAAGCATAACTTTTGGGATGCCTGAGAGCAGCCTGGGAAGTATCTGAGCAAACGTCTTCTCACGAGGGGCTGGGTTCAGACCACGGCTGATGTATTTTCAGAATTACACCTGTCCGAGACAGGCTGTTTGGTTAAACGGGTTCCTCCAACCTTACACCAGTTAGCCCCTGGTGGGGTCTGGCCCATGACTGCTAAAGTAAGCATTTGAAGGCAGTGTTTATAGCTAGTAATTTGTCTTAGAGGGTTTTATATATATATGTGCATATGCCTGTGGGTTTACATACATGTGTATATATATATACATTCTTTCTCAGGAATGTCATTTCCAGTCCTTTAAACTTGTTAAAAAAGTAAACTAGGGAGAAACTGGCAGCAAGTTGGAGCTGCCTGCCAAGCATTGCAGACCAGAGAAGTGGTAAAACATAAACACTTTGGAGTTTATCCTCAGGATTTATACAGTTTGGCTGCTGGGGTTTGGACTCATGCAGAGGGGGGGGCTTGTCAGCCCCTGGCCGTGCTGCTCCCGCAGCACCAAGCCCTGCACCTCCGCAGCCGTGTTTCCGCTCCTGGCAGCGTGCGAGCAAGAGGGCAGTGCAGGGTTGTCCGTCCATCCTCTCCTGCTCCACCGGCCATGCGGGGTGGGCTTTGGGCGATGGCAGCAGAACAGGTCTGCTTTCCCCCTCCCCTGTGCTAAAGTGAAAACAGACCTCCTTGACGCTTAATCAGATTTGAATGTGGTTTTTGGCGTGGCTTTAAAGAGACTGGCAGTGAATAGCTGGGTTTGATGCCATTTATTAAAAACCTCTGGTAGAATTTGTCTCGGAAAGCCTTTGTGAGAGCTGGCAAACGCACAAGGGTTTGATGCAGTTAATGTATTTTAATCTTCACACCCCCCCACACACACACCCCCCTCGCCTTCTCCTTTTCTGTCGCTAATTGTAGGGCTCTCAGCTGTCTGCCGCCTTCTCCGGGGGACGGCAGGCTCTGCAGGGACCTCTGTACAAACATGGGCTGAATAAGGTTGCAGTGGTACGGAGAAAAGTGAGCATCGTCTTTGGGGAGGAGAGCTGGGGCAGGGTGCTGGGTCCTGGGTACCACACCAAACTCATGACAGGAGGGCACTGGGTGGCCCCAGCCACATTAATTAACCTCCTGATGCAGCCTCGTTCTCCTTGGAGCAACGAAGCACATGGATGGGGGAAACAAAGATGTCCCTTTTCCAGGTGGCTGGGCAAGTGCAAAGTGTTGGAAAGGCTCCTTGGCAGCTGGCTCCTGGGAAGAGCTCCCTGGGCTTTCAGATGGAGGTCATGCAGTCTTTTCTTGCTGGCTTTATCCTTCAATTGCTTGGTGTATCCGCCTTCTTTGGGCCCAGAGGACCTTCCGAGCCTGTTTTGCTCTCCTCACCTGCGTTTGGGGACTTGATGGGACTTTTATTTCACGGTTTGTGCCCAAAGACACTATACGCCACCATGGCATGGTGGGGGCTGTCAGGAGCATTGTAATGTTTGTGTGAGTGATTTGGGCTGTCCCTGCAGCCCAGCTCACGCATCGTGCTGACAGGCAGCTGGCTCCCTGGCAGCAATATTTTGAGGAAAGCTCAAGTGCTCACAGGGGAACAGCAAATATCACAGAGCTCAAGGAACAAACAGTTTCCCCCCAGCCCACTGTTTGGGCTGTGCATTGCTCCTCTCCCTGCTCGTTGTTCCTGCTGTGTGGAAGAGCTCATGTTGGCCGTGCCCTGGAGTGCTCTACCTGGTTCAGGGACTGAAGCTAGCATTGCATTGCATTTAATCTGTAGGATTTTTTGTCTGCCTCAGCAAAGAAAAGAAAACCTAGCCTTTTTCTGCCAGCTCTCACTCACGTGAGTTGCAAATTCAGTGAGAGGGAGGCATGGATGAAGATGACTCCCAGGAGAGAAACAGTCTGAGAGACTCTTAAACAAATGGGAACCAAGCAGCTTTTCTCTTCCCCTGAGGGTTTGGCTGTTAAATAAACTCACCGTTGAGTCTGGCTGCATGTGTGTGTTGGTGCAGAAGCGTGTTTGTATGCGAGCTGGGTGTTGCTGGGTGTAAGCCACCAGGATGACGTGCGTTGGGTGGAGCACTCCTTGACATAGTGATGCATGAGCATCCTTGGCTGGGCTTGTCCTCCTTCTAGAGTTTGCATGAGTGGTCATGGTCAGAGGGAAGCTAATGTGGCCTTTCTCTTTTTCCTTTCCCCCTCCAGGGTTCCACCTCAGCGGGACGGTAACAGAGCCAGCGACTGCGACAGAACCAGAGATGACCTACAAGGTGGCCATCAGCTTTGACCGCTGCAAAATCACCTCAGTGACTTGTGGCTGTGGGAACAAGGACATTTTTTACTGCGCACATGTCGTGGCGCTTTCACTGTACAGGATCCGCAAGCCGGACCAGGTCAAACTCCGTCTTCCCATCTCAGAGACCCTTTTCCAGATGAACAGGGACCAGCTCCAGAAGTTTGTTCAGTATTTGATCACAGCACACCACACCGAGGTGCTGCCCACTGCCCAGAAGTTGGCTGATGAGATCCTGTCATCCAACTCGGAGATCAACCAAGTGCATGGTAATTCCTCCCTCCTCCCTAGGTGGCTCAGCCCTGTTTCACTCTGCGTTTGGGGCTGGGGTGGTGGTTTCTCACTGATGGTGGAGACCTTTGTTTTGCCGTGTTTGTCTGTTGCTGCACAGAGAGGCGGTGGTGTCAAACCGATGTCAATGCATGGGTGTTGGGACCACATCGGTGTTGGCCACGTTTCCCTGTTCTGCCCTCTGCTCTTCTTTATGTGTTTATCTGTCAAACACTGGCTTCAGCAGGCAAGAAAAGGCAGAGCAGGCAGGCTGGTGGTGCACAAAGCACAGCTCAGAGTAGGATGAAGAAGCCAAGGGTGGAGGAAGGGAACGTGTTTAGTCCCCAGCAGAGAAGGACGTGGTGCTGGGACTCTGAGGAACAGAAGGTGCAGTGGGGATGTGGCTCTTCCAGCATGTGGGGACATGGTGTCAGCCCAGCCCTGCACGTTGCTAAGTCAGATGCGGCTGAGCTGGCGGGAGATAAAGCTTTAATCTCCATGGGTGTTAATTTGCCTATAATAAATGAGCACTGCTGTCCTGACCTACTGCACAAAGGCAGCAGGGATGTGTCCTGGGGCTTTCTGTTTCAAAAATGCTTTTGACTTCCTCCCCTGGAAAGCACTGGCTGGGGGATGGTGCTCATCCCAGCCCTGTTCCAGTTGCCCACTGGCTCAGGAGGTGGCCCAGGTTCCCTGAAGGTCTCTTCATCAGCCCAAGCCGGGTGCTCCTGCTGTGTCTTTCCAAGGAGCCCAGGAGCTGAGGTTGCCCAGGGTCTGCAACAATGAGCCGCTCCCCACCGTGCCTGTCCCGCCAGCTGTAGAGTGGAGATAATAAACACTTATCAGCCGCGGAAGGGCGTTGTGGGGATTAACACATGCCTGTTAAGTGCTCCAAAGATGAAAAGCGCCATGTGCAGCCTAAAATAGGATCGGAACTGGTTGAATCCACATGTAGAGGTGAGGCCAGGGGTCCATCTCCACCACAGGGGAGATGGCAGCTCTGATCCTAGGTATTTTCTCCTCCCTCTATCTGGTCATTCTTGCCCCTACCTTGGGAGGAGAGGCTTTTGTCTCCTCCACTGGGCCACATCTGCTGTGTGTGTGGTTGTACTCTAGATTACTGGCTTTGGGTGGGGGGATTCCTCATTTTCTGGTATTAAAAAAGAATGAGGAGCTGTGGTACTGCAAGAATCTGGTGAGGTCTGTTCCCTCCTTGAGCTGATCCACTGAAGCTGAGGTTGAGCAAGATCCCTTCTTGGCCATTGTTTGAGGCCGCTTTCTCTGAAGCAGATTGAAGAAAAGCTTTTAAGACTCTGAATATTTATTGCTCTAGAGTCAGCAAAAGGCTGGTGATTGAGAGTCTTACAAAGATACAGATGTTGGCTCTGGTTCAATATCCGCCTCTTGTTTTTACAAGTGGTTTTAAAAAACAAAGCAAAAATTCTCTGTCCCTTCAGAGTTGTGCAAATTTATGCACTCCAGTGTGCAATTTTGAACCAACAGAGACACGTTGATTTACCAAGCAGAAGATGATACGTATCTGACACCCATATGGCTGCCTAGCTGGGGTCACAAGCAAGTAAAGGCCTCTGCAAGCAGGAGAACAGCCTCTGGTCACCCAAAGGACTGTTCCTTCCATGTCAATGATGAGCACGTGGGATGCAGGAGATAATTCTGCACCTTGGGAGGACTCCGGGCTGACTGGGGAATGCCCCTTGTGCAAGGGGAACATCTGATTTTGTAAAAATAAGGCTTTCAGGGCTGCTTCTTCTCCCCCTGCAGAGCCTGAACGGCAAAGAAAATTACAAGCCATTGTCTGGCGCGCTTGTCTCGGGCCGTAGGAGCTTTGTTCCTTGCAGGAGTCTGTAGCCGCAGGCTGTGCACCGCATGCCGATCTTCCCGGCTGCCTTCCTAGAAGGAAATGCAAACTATCCAGTAATGATGGAGTCTCGGAGCGCAGCCAAGGCGCTCGCGTGTTCTTGAAGGATTCAATCCAAGCAGAGAGCTGAGGTGTGCCTGCCGCTCTGCTCCCCACTTGACCTCTGCCTGCTTCAGTGGGTCACGTTTCTGCCCTCGTAGCTGGCTGCAAAGGGCAGCCTGCTCACAGCGAGAGCGTCTCACGTGTCTGACACCTCCGCGCTCGGTGTCTGAAGTGGCAGCTGGAGTGAGGAGACTGGGGTGGGCTTCAGTGCTGCTGTGTGCCCTCCCCTAGTGTGTTCCTGCTTGGGGACAAAGTCAGTGGCATGACTGTCCAGCATGGAGCAAGGCTGCAAGATTGTCATTGTGCCAGCAAATGTGACTCATGGCTGCTTGGTCTTTCCTGGTGGGGGTGGCTGCTGGGGGCAGCCAGGACCTGCAGCTGGAGAGCTTGGATCTGACAGCCAGGCCTCCAATGGAATGAGGAGCATCTGGTGGTGGCTGCCTTGGTACCCTTCTCCTTCTG